GCCCAAACACTTTGAATTGAGTGTGAAAATGAAGACGTAATTGCATTGGTTACATTAGCTTTATCAGTCGATTTGTGGGCCAATGCCACAGCTACAGATATACCACATAATATATTCTTTGGCTGAGTAAATGGTAGGAAGACGTACGAAACTTGAAACTTATACAAGAAATATTAATTAACCATATTTAGTCTTTAGTTAGTAGAATCTAGAAATTGTAATACTATATTCGTTTCCTTTTCGTTTCTTAGAACGTCTCGTATCTGTTTATTTAAAGTTCCCATTTCTGTAGCTTTCCACAAAATCTTAATCAATCACTTAAATTTCAAAGGTTTCTTTCGGCTTTCAATGATTTTACCAGAAACCCAACTTGCAGATTTCTCAATTAAGCTGTTCTATAGCCAAATTCAAACCAATCAGATAAATTGAAAATCTGTGGGTAAATCCTTGCGGCATCTGCCACACTATCGATTATCCCATGAAGCCGAGAAGGCGGGAAAGAAACGTACTCAGGCATCAATTAGAGACTTCCAGTTGTGCCATTTGGCCAAAGGGAACTTCATTAAACACATTTATTTCCGCACAGGCACACACACACACTCGCAGCACATGTATCTATCTGTCTGTCATTCAAGTTGGCTTATTCAGCATCTGCCGACAGCATAAATACGATTTGATATACCTAGCCTTAAGTGCCCCAAGATACGGGAACTCAAGTATCCTTGGTGGCCAGAGGCGCGGACACAAGGGCTTACATTGAATGAATATGCAGAAGGGCACAAGTTAAGTTGGCCTAATAAATGCAAAATAAGTCACTACAAAAAATAAATTCAAATTTTTTAGAATTATTTTTTATTATGATAAAGTTGGAAAGACCTCTTTTACTTAGCCTTTCTGTGTGACGTATGCATTAAACTCCCTTTGAAACGTTGAAAGAGGGAACACATGTTTCAAAACACTTAAAATCCCCGATTTCGAGGACTGCGACGATCGCGTGAACAAGTAAATGTTGGGCAATAATTTTTTTTATGGCCAGGCAATGCCGAAAGCATTTCACATCGAGTGTAAGTACATATTGAAATAATGTTATTCCCCCCATGCGAGGGTGTGAGTGTCTGTCTGATAAGCAGCCAAAGTCCTTGTTATTGTAGCCGTTAAATCCACACACGGAATGACTGTGGGCGTGGCATGTTTGCCATACTCTCGATATTTATGCCCTTGGTATCGCTTTAGTATCGGTTTAATCAGACTCTTTGATTTTACAACACCATTATGCACTTTTAGTGTGATTGATTGGAAGGGGGGAGCGGTGCCTGGAAAATGGAAAATGCAGCTCAATTCACTCCAAATGCGGATTCCGAATTCAAATTCGGTTCGGAGAATAAAACAAAATGCGTAAAAGGTTAACGAGAAGCAATCATAGCAGTGCACAATTTGGCCTGAAGAACAATATATCTCTTTTTCATATAGTGGGGGAAAAATCTTCTCCGCACTTGTGAAACTTTTATCCGAATCATGTTTGCAATTCGTATTCGTATGCAAACGAAATAATTGTGGAACACTCTGGACGAAATATTTGTTATATAATTTTAATCCATCACAAAACAAATCATTTTTACTTTCAGTATTTTTTTAAATAACGAGAAAGGAAAGATATTAATTATGTTTACAAACTCTTAATTAAGTCAATTTAAATAATTTGAGACTTCAATTAGTTGAAAATGAATTGTAATTTTCTTAAAAGAAATTTCCATGCCTTAAATTTAATATATTAGCCAACATATTTATTCAACCCCTGCCCAAAAGCGAACGAAGAATTTTATTTCCATTAAACCATTCGCAATTTCTGCGGTTGTCATTGGTTTTGAAATGTGGCATCATGGGTGTGGCAGAAAACTTACTGCGGTGAGTGTTTCAAATTGTTGCAATTTGATCTAAATAAAAGCTGAAAAGTTTGTGCCTAACACTTTTGGTCTGCAAACTTTCCAGCAGTTATCAGTTGCAGTCTGGCTAACATTGTTCGGGATCGAAGTCACAGGGAACTTTTTGCAACCATTTGCCATTAAGAGACAGGGACAGTTGCACAGAGAGAAAAGACATTTACTACAAAATTCAAATTTCTTTTTTGTATAGAAATAATATTGCATTAAATCGGAGTTTTTCAGTTAATCCATTATATTTTAATTTTACAATCCGTATATAACTAAAACACAAATGCAAAAGTGTACACCAAAAACTAAAAGCGACCTTGTATGAATTCAACTTTATTTTATGTTGTTATCTAAGTTAAATTAAATTAAATATAAATAGTTGTAAAAACGTCTTATTTTTTGCTTTTAGTGCTACAAGAAAGGAATAAAAAAGCAAATAGAGCTGTTAAATAAAAGTTTCTCTCTCGCTTACAGAGTGTTTCTCGGAGTCCTGGACAGAATGCTCTGAATGCGGAGCACTGAACTCATGCATAATGCATATGGGTGGACATGCAACTATCTCTGTGAACAGATTACAGTCAGTCTCAGTTTGCCGAGATACGTATATGAGATATGCCGGCATTCTTCAGCCATCCGTCCATCTATTCAGACCCCCTCCCTTTGTCCACCAGATGTCCTGGCCACAGGAGCGCCGTTTATTTACTGTCCGGCCTCGCAGTTCGCCAGCGTAATTAGGCAGAGAGTCGTGTGGGATTGTGCTCAGCTAACGACCCGCCTGAATAATTCATTAGCCAGAGTCCGTATCCGCATCCGCCTCCCCAACTGCCTGCCACTTTCCACAGGATGCTCTCGTTTCGAAGCTGGATGTGCTTTCAAAAAGCAACCGCAAACATAACCCGAATGCAAACAAGAACCTCCTCTGGCTAGTTGATATTTCACAGAGTGTGTACTTTGGCCCAGATTGAGGAGAGCCACTAAGATACACACACGTATTTATGTTGCCAAGCTTGTCACCTGCTTAATATAAATAAATTCTAGATGAATTCAATTATAGATACAGATCGAAGACAGTTTTGTTTTATACATTTTGTAATTTTCGGATTAGTAATAGAAATTTATATAAAATTTTATATTACGATTGTTTTTCTTACTTCTTGGATATAGATTAAGCTTCCGTTTAATATCTTCCACAAAAATCTGTTAAATTCAAGATAAAGTTCAATTCAAAATATAATATTATATTCAGAATCCAAAATCTTAGAGTTCTTTAGTTCTTCTTGCCTTCAACTCTTTAATCGAATTAAATGTATTTTTAAACTTTACGACCCCTTCTGTATACTCTGGCTAGACATCTTTATACACACATAGCACTGGCTGCCCTGTTAGGATTATAAATATAAATGGACTACGGAATAATGTAAATTTTGCTTGGCATTTATTGGCCAAATTCAGTTGGTAATTTGTGTACATATATTAAGTATGTTAATGTATGTATCTTTATGCTGGCGGACAGGTGTCCAGTCCAGCCTTGGAAGTCAAAGGGTCTCTTTACTGTCGGCACGTTTTTCATATTTCTGTAATCCATTACCAAGTCTTGGCCATCAGTCACGGGCCCAGTCGGTTCTGGCCAACAGCCGCCGGCCGTTTTCAAAAGTTCTTCCACTGGCCATTTAAAGAAGAAACTTTATGCATAACGTATTTCTGGTGTGTACTAAGCCGCTTACATCGAAGCTGAAATGCCCTTGAAAATTATTTTTGGCATTTCTCCTTGTAAAATCAGACTTAAGCCAATTTAAATTAAGCCGAAGTACGCAGGAAGCCCGAAATAAATTCAGGGATATTTATATTTAGCTTGAATGGGTTTAACTTGTGCCTATATTTAATCAATAGAAAATAAATAAAATCTTAGACTTGCATTTCCACAAATAATATTCTCGCAAGAAAACACATTCCCTATTTACCCGCTCTCGTACATCTTTGCAGAGTATAATAAGTGCCAGAAATGTTGCACTGCAAACCGAATTACAGGACTCCTACCCCGCCAAGAAACATTCATTTTATTACCATTTCGAGGAGCAGAAGTTCTCCGGGTTCGTTCCTGGCCAAGATTTGTGCGCTGACAGGCAGCAACTTTCGGCTGACTCATGGCAGTTGCTACTCGCACCGCCGGCAGTTGATTTACTGCTCAGTGTGAGGGGTATGGGATATATCCGTGCCATGCAGGTGAGTGCTCTTCCCCGAGTGCAACCAGAAGAATGGAATTTGGCCCAAACGCTGCGGGAATCTGCTGCCAGTTGCTGGCCTTTGTGGCAAAGGCGAGGGCACAGAAACATAAAGATTGCAAGTTCTTTCTGCTCTTACTGCAAATTTTATAAAATTCATGCAGGCTTGCTCTGATTTCGCTCCCACTAATGGGTTGCTCTTTGTCCGGGACAAAGGATGATTCCTTCATCAAAATTCTATGTGATTTGGTAAGCAATTTTTAGTCCTGCACAGTCGCAATCCTACGATGAGCTTTCAATCCGCTCGACTCTGACAACTAAAAGGATGTTTAATATGGGAAAATTCCTTTGTGATTCTGATAAATTTTCGTTGATGTTATTGGTTTTCCAAAAGAAAACTTTTCTTATGAACAGACGCTATTAAACTTATTTATAAATATTCCAAAGAAACTTTTTGGTCTGCACTAACTTTTGAGCGCCGCGGGCCATAAAGAAATAAGGAAATAAGCTTTGAATCACGGCTTTCTCAAAATAAGTTATTTAAGATTATATAAACATTAAGTTTTAAATAGTGATCAGTTACACTAGATAAAACTGGTTTTAAATATCTTTTCAGCATTTACGGGAGAAAATTTTATAAATTAAAAGAAGTCTCAAAACTAGCATCAATGTTTCTTAAATAATTTTCTCTATAAAACTCCTGTTAATAAAATTTTATTGTTTTATCAGTTTACAATAAAATTTAATAAACTGAACGTTTTAAACATATTTTCACTATTTTTTAATAAATAATAATTCTTTTATTAATCCCCATCTTGGCTCAGAATTTTCCCTTGCAAAAACTCACCCTATCTCAGTTGAATCTTCTCCCGGGATCTGCTCCGCCGCCGCCACAGACCCCAGTTCCCAGTTCGAGCATCACGTCAGAGTCCTGGCACTGACTCGTGCTCGTCTCAAGGATGCTGATGCCGGTGGTGTTGTCCGTGCTGACGAAGGGCGTCTCGCTGAAGCGCACCTCCACAGTCTGCTCATCACCCGAGTCCAGGTAATCCCCGTCGGTCTCATCCGTACGCCGACGAATGCGTCGGCTAAGCTCCACCTGCTGGTGGTGCGTCGGTTGGAGCTGGTGCATCTGGTGTTCGCCGCCATGGACGAGGGCGGCATTGATGCCACGACCGCTGAGGATGGGCGAGACTGCCCCAGTGCCATTGCCATAGGTCGGCTCCCTGGGTATGATCAGCAGCTTCTCCTTGGGCAGACACGTCTCCTGGGTGATCCCGTTTTCGTCCTGGTCATCGGCATCCAAGCTGCCACCGCCTCCCTCCTCACCCTTGCCGTGGTGCAGCCGAGGGCCGCAGGTATTCCTATCGGATCGATTGTATCCCCGGGTGATGTTGATGATGTTGTTGTTCGAGGGATTGAAGCAGGGCAGGACATGCTTGAACTCCTTGCGGAAGTTCTCGTTCAGCCAGGCGTAGAGGAAGGGATTGTAGCACGTGGAGCTCATGGCGATCGAGTGGGCCACGAAAAAGAACAGGAAATAGAAGCGCCACTCGTTGGACTTGTCGTCGAAATCATCGAAGATGTTCACCACGTTGATGGGCAGCCAGCTGAGTCCAAAGACGCCCACCATGGCGATCAGCATGCGATTGGTGCGCTTCTTCCGATCACGGTCCGCCTCCTCGCGCCGGGAGGATTTCGAGCCCGGCTTGGCCCTGGCCCGCTGGTTTAGCTTCACGGAGATCCACACGTAGCAGATGGAGATGATGAAGAAGGGCAGCACGAACTGCAGCGTGGTGGTGATGGCGCCGAACACCTTCCGGTACTGCTCCGATGGCCAATTCTCCTCGCAGTACACTGCTACGTACGGCACCTCCGGACCCGTCAACCCGCCGGTCATCACCTGTCTATACGCCTCGGCCGCCGAGGTGGCGTCCGGTGCCTCGATGAAGCCCGATCCCTGGGCCACGTAGCTCCCGTTCAGCATGAGCGCTGCCTCCGACAGCGTCTCGTTGCCACCCTGGGTACCATTCACCACCTCATTGGTCATCTTCATGTACATGCCGTAGGGCACGGTGGCCAGGAGGGCTATCACCCAGATGCTCACTATGATCCCGATGCAGGTGGAGAGCTTCATGCGCGGGTGGAACGGATAGATGATCACGAAATACCTGTCGATGGCGATCGAGGTCAGGGTCAGAGTGGATATGTAAATGCTACAGCCCTGCGCGAAGGACACCAGGTGGCACAGGGTCCTGCCGAAGGCCCAGCTACCCATGAATGTGTAGAGTGGCGTAAAGGGCACCGCCAGCAAGCAGAGCAGAATATCCGAGAGGGCCAGGTTCGTGATGAATATATTCGTTACCGTCTGCATGGCCCTATTCCGGAGCACCACATAGCAGACCAGGACATTGCCAAAGACTCCAAGGACGAAGACCGTGGCGTACAGGATGTAGAAGAAGATCTGCACGAATTGGTTGTGGATAATCCCACCAGTCCTGTCATCCTCCGCCGCCGCCGCAGCCGCTGCAGCTGCCGCGGACACATCCCCCAGGCTGACGCTCGTGCTCCCTGGCGGAGTCAGGCTCCAGTTGCTCGTGCTGACCAGTGGCAGCTGCGTGGTGGTGGCCAGCCAGCTCAAGTTGGCCATCTCTCGATCCGGCTGATGAGTTGATTGCTGGGTTGGAGTGGAGTAGAGTGGAGTGGAGTGTCCTGGTTGGCTGAGTGTGCCCAAGTTTGCTGCCGGTGGTTCCGGTCCGGATGCGCAGCACTTAAGCAGCCATTTCCGTCGCCGCCGGAATTGAGCTCCTTGCTGGATGATGGCCTGCCCGAAAACCTCTTTTCTATTCACAAGGCCGGCTGCCACATTACACTCATCGCTAATTGACTCTGCCTTTGGGTTCTGTAAATGAACAGAAATGAAAGAGATTTTAGTTTGGGAACAGATTCAAAGGATTCAAGCTATGGCTATGAGAAAGAGTTGACCTTTCACAAAGGATAATGTAAATCCAATTCGTATTTGGTTTTTATATGGATTATTTTAAGCGAGACTAAACTTAAAGTCTTACAGGCGTCCTTTCTGGAAATATAAACATAGGGTATGTTTGTACTTATTCTTCTATTACGCTGTTATTTGCCAGATATTTAGCCTTAACCTTGGTAAACTAAAGCAGTAAGAATATTCCATGATGGATACGCATAACATTTACTTACATTAAACTTAGTTCAAAGTTTTCCGTGAAGAATACTTCTTAAACGGACTTAAAAAGTAAGTTTTTGCTTTGTTACAGCCATTCCTCCAACCCCGTTTCACTTTCCTTGTTTTCCCTTTTGTTTGTCTGCTTTTTGGCCAAAAGGGATTAAGTTGTTGCCTTGACTGGCTTTTATTTTTAGTTGCTGTCAGACACGCTCCCTCGGCTTCGAGCTTCAACTGGGTCTCCCTCTTTGGGTTCGAAGGCGAACCGAGTTTATTAAAAACAATGCCAATGCGACAGTTTCTGTCTCTAACTGTCCATCCAGTCGGAAATCTCCAGAAACTTTGATACTGCTCTTCGGACAGCTATAAGCCTAAGCTGAGTTGAATATTGAAACACCAGAAATTTATCTTCTTGCACTGAACAAAACTGTTTTATGTTTGAAGAAATGTGAAGAATATTTGCTAAGTATTAGGTAATTTCATTTCGAAAAGTAACACGAAAGAGAATATTGAAATGAAACTGCTAAAGTGCGATTTTCCTTGCCGCTTTCTTTATCATTAATAATTAAATAAGAAGACCTACAAAACTGTAATGTATTGTGTGGCGATAGAGGTCCGGCACATAAATTTGTTGAACCGCAGAACAAAGAATTAAATAAAAATGTGGTTTAAAGTAAAATCAATCGACTCTGTAAATGTTAACTGTGTAGTCAGCTAGTCAAAGGTTGGCCAAGATTATATTTGCCATTGTACGAAGACCTGATTTGTGCTTTAGCAAATTTGCCTGCCCTGCCTCTGTCTCAAAGTACCCAATAAACAATAAGTCATAGCTACGTATAATATTAATATTACATAAATAATTAAATAAAGTTATATTTCTTGCTCACCCAAATCACATTGTAACATGTCAATCTACTGATATATGTACATACTTTACTGACTGTGACTGCAGCCTTCTGATCCAAAGTACATTAAATTCCCAGTGTTCAGTTTTCTTTGTGTGAAGAGAGGTCATCAAGTGCAGATCCTGAACGGTTAAATGGGAGCGCCTGAACATGATTGCCTAGATTGATTTCTGCCGAAATGGCAATTGTTCCCCAAAGGTCCTAATTAGACGGTGCAGCCAATTGGAGCCCTGGATAATTGCCTTACACCTGTCGGAACCCAACAGTGACCTTGCACCCGACCAAGGGTAATCATTCGGGGCGGCATTTAAGCCAGTGTTTTGCAATGGGAAAGTTCGTCGGAATTTTATTGCTTGCCCGGAAGGCCGAAAGTTTTGGCAGGCAACCAGAAAGCAACGATGCAAATATGCCGATAGCTGATGGCTTTCTGATCACGTTCGGCAACTGAATGCAAATTTAATTGGATTCGCCCAGAAAAGTTTTAGCCAAATGTGCAGGTGCAGGCCGGCCCCCGAATGCCGTTAGTTAAGTTATTTGGGGCGAACCTAGATAATGCAGGTTCCCAACATCACCGGCTTCGGGGAGTTCGGAGAAACTTTACAAGGCCGCAAATTGAAATCCTGCGTTTAATGAACACATGCTGAACACACCCCGGGACACAGATAACAAGGCCAATATGCAGCTCGGAAAGGTGAATGCATTCACAAGGCAAAATTTAATTAGAACCCAGGGCCATTGTGTGTCACCAAAAGAAGGAAACCAGTTTCAGTAGAAATTTGTAAAATACATAGAAGAGAAGGATACAAAAAACGATAACTGTGACATCACAAAAAAATGTGGATAAATCTGAGGCAAACTTTAAATTGTTGCTTTTCTTAGTAAAAAGTAATATATTTTTGGTCATAAATCAAGCAGGACAGGAATATAGGAAGACATTAAAAATTATGAATAACTCAATCAGCTAATGGTCTCGACTATCTATTATCATTTTTTATTCCAGCAATAAACTGAATAATTTTCCCTTTGCCAAAGAGAAATGGTCGAATATTACTCAAGATATTATGCAAAGTTTCGCAGAGTTTCAGAGGTTAGGGAATTCCTGAACCCGCTTAGCAGGAAGACTGCCAGAAATATTTCAATGCCGCGGGCCAAGGGCAAAAGAATAATAATTTTGATAAATTAATAGACGGAACTGTGGGCCAGGTTATGGTGAGAGGAGAGATGCCACGAATGCCGGATATTGTGTAAAGAAAGAGCGACAACGTGAGAAACAAGAAAAATTGCCAGTTAACAATTTTTTGTTTTGTCTTCTTTTTTATGAACGCATTTATCCATCGCTTGCTGCCTGGCGAGAGCCGTAAACTTCATCAAAATCATTACCAGCAGCCGCCGGTGGCATGCCCCGAGTGTCGCCAACATCATCATCGCCGCCATCATCCGCATCTTTGCTGGTTCCGGGTGCCAGCAGGATCTTTGCCTCGGAGTCCCGCCCTCAGTCCTCCGGCAAGGCTCACGCGCCGCATTCCCATTATCATTACTAACAAGCAGCACAGGCACAAAGCAGCTTGAGTGTGTCATCCTGCTGTCTGTCCAAGGAGTCCCTGTTCCCTGCTCCCGATCTGTGGCACTTCGTAATTTTAATTTTGATGCATTTGTCACCATTTTTTGTTCGCCTTTATGGCCTGCACTGGAAGAAATTGTTAATACTAGTTGATAGACGGGAATTTTCAGACACCTGATGTCGATTGATTGATTGATTTCTTTGGTATTTCGATAATTAGCTCATACAAAATGAATCAGAATTACTTACATTACTTACTCTCCTATATTTATATAAATAATCAATAAACCCTTAAAAGAAATTATAATAAATGTGGCATTGAAATACGAATTATATAAATTAAAGTTACTTTACTTTATAGCTGTATAAACTTAAATATTTACATTTTTATTACAGATTTGTAATATTTCGTTATTTATCTCAATGTATCGACTTACTTCTTCTACGGCAACGATTTATCTTTGAGCCCGTGACATAATGAAACAAGGCGATATGGCCAGGGCGAGAACAAACGCTCACTTTAATGGGATTTTATTTTGCTTCCCGCAATATCATGGAACATCAGCAACAACAACAACGTCGCCCAGCGCCTGCTATAAGTGCCAGTATATGGCCTACTTATAGGCGCTTGGGGAATTTTATAGCCACAAGGTGCATGCATCGGTCCAGAGGGCAAAAACCATTAATGAATTCCCATCGCTCTGGGGCTTAAAGATGCAGTTAAAGCGTATCTCAATGGACTGTCAGGACGGTTTATTGGCAGGATGGATAGTCAAACAGAGTGCTAAAAAAAGTGAGTAGGGAAAAGGACCCCTCGTTTCTTTTATTCGCCCAAAGCCTTTTCGATTTACCATTTCGTGCAGCTAAAGGTGAGGAAGTAAAAAGACGAGGGCAACAAAGGCAAAAAGTTCTTCAACTTTTCGTATACAGAAACATATAACTCGTAATATATATTTTGAAAACAAATGGTATTCAATTGTGATAATACAATCACTTTTAAATAATAATATCAAAACTAAATATATGCGTGGTATATTGCATTGATAAGACAATAACAATTCAAAAACTATTTGCATAATTGCTTGCAAATGCACATCAGAATACATCATTGGTTAAATAACCGCAGAAAAGCAATCAGATAAATTTGAAATCATTTAAATAACACTTAATTTGGATTATGACAAGTGTTTATTGACTTTGCCATAAAATTATGTTCTCGACATGCCACTAAATTAAAGCCATTTTGGGACTGCAATTTATTCGAGACAGTCATAACGTGATCTATTTCAGGATATACACGTATATATCCTTTTTTCCAAACAGAGTCGGAAATAAACTTTTGCTAAGCTCTTTTGCGTGCTGTCGGTGTTAACTACTTTCTAAGCATTTTTGGCCTTTGGGAGCATTCAGGAAAAGCCGAGTCTCGTGCAGATGGAAACTATGCCATTAGTTGGGGGCATAAATTCCATCCACTAATGATGTGGCCAGTGATCAATGCCGGAGTGCTCCGGGTCCGCATCCAGGGTTTTGCTCTAATTAACATGCCGTTTTTTTATACGATAATCAATTACAAAGTTCCCGCGCAACTTTGACGTTAGTTTCGCGTCAAAAAAGGCTGCCAGCGGGGAAAAAGTTTTATTCGCCATCAAAGAAATTACTCAACAGATTAGGAGTCCAGACAGACGAACGGATACAATCCGTTGAGGCCTCGAAGGGAACATGTGTTCAGCGTCTGTGTCAGTGTCAGTGTCATGGATCGACTGATGACGCGGAATTTAATTAAAATTTCGCCTTCGCTATTTTTTCTGCCACAGATATAGCTGCTGGCACTTTAAATTGTTGCCCTCACTCGTAAGCAGCCACTTTACATGTTGTTGAAATGCCGGGAAAAGAATTATTCATACGCATATGACTCTCGAACAAATATATATATATATTTATTCCAATGAGTGCTGCGGCGTATTAATTTATTTGTTGATTTATTTGCCCGGCAACTAATTAGTATGGAGTTATTCCCATTTTGGCTCCAAGTGCGCTCGAATTGAGGAAAGTCACTCAGCAAACTGACTCGAATCACATTTACATATCGAATACATATGGGAATACCAAACACCGAAATTACGAGTTGTACATATATTTAAAGGGTAATTTAAATACTCTTTAGATGGTGACATTTTGTAATTGTAGAAATAAATAATC